TCATTATCGATCTCACTATCGATCTCACTATCGATATCACAACCGAACTCACAGTCAATCTCACACTCGGTCTCATCATCGATCTCACTATCGAAATCACTACCGATCTCATTACCGATAGTGATCTCACTACTAACTCAATCGATCGATCTCACAATCGATCTGACTATCGATCTCGCAATATATTCCACAATCGATCTCACTATCGATCTCACTATCGATCTCACTATCGATATCACAATCGATCTCACAATCGATATCCCATTCGGTCTCACAATTGATCTCACTATCGATCTCATTATCGATCTCACATTCGGTATCACAATCGATCTCACAATCGATCTCACAAGCGATCTAACATTCGATCTCACGTTCGATCTCACAATCGATATCACCACCGATCTCGCTATCGATCATCAAAACAAAACATCAACATCGTCATCATCATTACCATCATCATCATTAATATCATCACCATAATCGGGACACCGACGGGGCACCGGCGGGACACCGCGGGGCCCCGGCCGCCCGGAAGGGAATCATTTGGTCTGGCCGCGCCTCAGCCACACGGGACACCAGCGGGACAACGGCGGGACACCGCGGGGCCCCGGCCGCCCGGAAGGGAATCATTTGGTCCGGCCGCGCCTCAGCCACAGGAGACTTTCTCTCGCCCGCCCACGCAGCTTCGCCTCGCCCGCACGGCACGCACGAACACGAAACCGAAATCGATTTCCCGGTAAGGGGGCTCTCCGTTCCACTTCGATCTCACCCCCTCACCTCCGATAGTGGCAACTGAAAACTCGTGTGACCAAGTGTGCGAGAGTCAACAGTATGCGCATGAGTGCAAATGCTTGCTGCGATTACACTTGCGTGCTTATTGAGACCAGCATGTGCTTGAAAAGCAGCGCTTGCTTGAATGCCAGATGCTTTTGCTGAACAGCCCGAAGGCAGTACCTGGTACAACTCATGCGTAAGGTCTGATGGTATTCCACGTGTTCGAGTGGCATAGCTCAATCTGCGCACTGCCTTCTCTGGCATGAGATGATGCAGCATGGGGTAGCGAGAAGAAGCACGAGCCATGACGAGGCCTTGCGCTTTCGCGGAAATGTCTCGGGTGTCGCGGGCGGTCTGGCGGTGATCACCGCGCTTAGCTCACGGACGGCTCTCTCAATCTTCAGCCAAAATGGCTACGGCCCCCTCCCCTCCTACTCATCCTCCCCCTCTTTCCCCGAAGCCATCCCTCCTTTCCTCCCTCCCTCCCTCTCTCCTCCTGTCGCTGTCACTGCTGGCAAGGGAGTCGTTGTCGACGCTGCTTCCCCCTCTCCCGAAGGGGCCGTCCCTTCCATCCCCCCCTCCGTCCGTCCCTCCGACCAAGCAAATTTCATCTTCGGGGCGTCGGTCGGATTTCTCGGATCGGCGCTGGGCCCCCCCTGGCGCGCTCCGCGCGCCGGGGAGGGGCGGCGGCCTAGCGCAGATCTAAGAGAGCCGCGCGGAGCTCCAGCAGTCTGTGGTATGCGGTGTCCAGCTCCTCTCGACCTCCCAGCTGGGGTCGAAGCAGATGGGGTCGGCGGGTTGCGCCGCATCGCCGATGCATCGGCGATGCGGCTCGATGCGGAGCCAGATTTTCTCCACGCCGACGTCGTCGATGCACTGGCGATGCGGCGCGCTCCTCCGACCCCACCTACTCGGAACCCCCGCTGGGAGGACCCCATCCTCCATCCCATTCAGAGCCGGGCGTCACGAAAACATGGCATGAGTCGGCTTTTCGATGCGCTCATCTTCTGAAATGCCGCTTCCAGGCCCCGGGGGCATCAGGATGATCAAGACCGAGGAGAAGGGGTCGAGATTTTTGGGGACCTGCGTCATAGCAACAGCACGATGTCGGAGGAGAGGGTTCTCCTCTTTCACCGGTGGACGCCGTCTGTCCGCCTTCCCGCTCCCAGCCATGCCGATCCTGGACCCGAGATCGGTGTACAGTCCCCCCCCGCACAGTGAGGATGAGCAGCGTTCCAGGGTCACTGCACCGGCATGCCTGTGCATTGCAATCCGAGGCACGGCGATGCCCGAGCGCTTGCACGCTCCTGCCCTGCATTTTTCCTGATCGCATGTGTTGTTATTTAGCTTGCCAATGCGCCGCCGTCTGGGCGCGGCTTCTTTCGTTTCGTTTCCTTGTATCCTCCCCTTCCGGCCCATCCCTGGCCGCTTCCCCTGGCCGCGCCCCGCTCGCAAAGGGTCGACGTGGCCCTCCGAGGCCCCTGCGTCCCTGCTCTGCGCCCCTTGGTGTGCGGGCTGCCTGTCGAACATGCCCCCCCCCCCTCCCCCCGGCGGGCGAGGCCAGGAGGGCGCCCGCGCGCGTGCACGGAAGTCCCGGCCGGGCCCAGGCCGGGCATGGCCAGGGCCGGGAGGCGTGGGCTTTGTGGCGCCCCCCGGGCTCGCGGCTCCAGATCGGCCTCGTGCTCCCTTTCCCTTGTCAGGGGCAACGCCAGGGGGGGGGAGGGAGCCAGGCACAGAGGCCAGCAACATATGTACACGCATGCAGTTAGCTTCCCCTGGAGTGCGTGTCAACGCGGACGTTCGTGCAGGCAAGACCGCGGAGGGCGCACATGTACACATGTCGTTGCTCGCAGGGGGGATGTGCCGACCCCAATCGCCCTCTGATGCCGAGAGGGGCCCGACGGCCCCAAGCTGCCCAGGGAGCGCGGGGAGCAGCAGTCGGGGGCCCGTCGCCGAACCGTCGGCGATGCATCGCCGGTTCCAGGTCGATGCTTCCCCCCCTGTGCCAGGTCCCCCCCTGTCGTTGCCCCTCGCCCTTCGGTGGGGAGTGCGAGGGGACAGGCGTGCGTGAGGCTGCCAGAGGGCTGTGGTCGAGGTCTTGGTCCTCCGAGGACGCAGGCAGGGCGGCGGCATCGCCGCCCGTCTTGACCTGGTGCCCTCGACCCTCGATCCGCATATCCTCGTCATCCCCCCCTCCTCCTCCTCCTCCTCCTCCTCCTGTTCCTCCTCCTCCTCCCCCTCCTCCTCCTCCTCCACCTCCTCCTCCCACCTCCCCCTCCTCCTCCTCCTCCTCCTCCTCCTCCTCCTCCTCCTCCTCCTCCTCCTCCCCCTCCCCTCCGAGCCCGAGCCTGGGCCACCGCCTGTTGTCGGGGCCGCGCCCTGGGGATCCCCGGAGCTGCGGGCCACGGGCCCCCCCTCGCTTCTCCCGCCCCTCCGCCCTCGGCCTCCCTCTGGACTTCTCGCTTCGCCCCCCCTCGGTCTCCCTCGCTTCGCCCCCCCTCGCTTCGCCCCCCTCGCTTCGCCCCCCCTCGCTTCGCCCCACGGGCTCCCCCTCGCTTCGCCCCCCCTCGGTCTCCCTCTGGACTTCTCCATCTAAGCTGTGTTGCCGCTCTCTTCTCCCTCCCTCCCTTCGGCGACGAGCCCGGGGGGGGGGGAAGCGAGAGCGGGCGGGCCCTCGCAGCAGGCTCGGAGGTCCCCCAGCCCTCCAAGACGCTGTCTGAGCCTTTACCGGGAAGCGCAGCGAGCCTCTCCGAAGGCTGGAGTCCTTCTGAGAAGCCCCGCCGCCTCTGCGAAGGCTTTCTCCTTCCCCTCGCTCGCCGCCGATCCCTTTCCCTCCCTCCTTCGCCCATTTTCTCGCACTCCTCTCCTTCCGTTGCTCTGGGTTTGGCCACCGCGCTGCCCGCTTTTCTTCCCGCCGGTCTCGCGCGTTCTCTGCTGCGCCCTCTTGCAGCTCCTCCGCGAGATGCGTGTTCGTCGGGATATTCGCTTCCCTCATCTTCTCCCCTCCGAAACGTTGCCGGTGTGTGTATGTGTGTGTGTGTGTGTGTGTGCCAGATGGGGCAGTCATTCCTGCTGGATATCCAGCCCTGGAGAAGCAGACGCGCAGGGGGCCAGACCGTGATGCACCCGATCAGGTCCGAGAATGGGGAATGTAATCTCATAGGGAGAGCCCATAAAGAGACCTATTGGAAACGTTGCTCTGCCTGCTTTTCGCTCTGGTACGCTGTTCCAGAGTACAGACGTCTCTCGTTGTCTCCCAGAGTGGTGCTTGCGGGGGTGGACAGACCTCCTACCCTGACACGTCGATTAAGGAATCGGCCGTTTTCGGTTCGCGAGAGGGCGTCGCGGCCGTCATTTTTGCGGGTCCAGGTCCGTCGATTTCGGCCCCAGGCCGTTTTCACTAAGGGGAGGCTTACTAAAGCTGGGTAGTCGAAGGCCAGACTGTCAGATTGGATTGGGCCCCAAGGGCCAATCTGGCCTGGCCAAACTGGATGATTTGGGTCATTCGCCAGACTGGATTCGCGTTGGCTCCCTCGCCAGATTGCCCCCGTTTGCCAGATTGGGCCTGCCAGATTGGCGCCAGATTGGCTTCGACTACCCAGTAAAGGGAGGTTTGTCCATCGCCGATGCTTCTGGTCGCATGTCGGCTGCCCCCGCAAGCAGAGCAGCCGGGTGGAGCCTTGCGACGTGCGCGGCCTCGGGTGATTCTCCCCAAGCATCCCCCACTTTCGGGTTCAGTCTGTCGTGCCGTGTACGGGCGTCCCGAGGCTCCCTCGTCGTGATTGGCCACGTCTGTGCAAGCGTTGCGTGTTTCAACATTGTTGGCTGGCATTGCTGCTCCGAGGTGCGCAGAGACTCTGGAGCCGAGGGGGATGTCCATGGTGGCCTACGCTGCAGGAGCCCACGTGTCGCCCCTCGGCAAAGCCTGTCCAGTCCGAACGGGCGCCCGTTCCCCATGCCGCCCTCGAGGGCAACGACAAGGGGGGGATAGGCATATCGAGGAGTGCATCGACCCCCAATCGCCCATTCATCGTCGATGGGGGCCCAATAGCCCTACCCTGCTGAGGAGGGGGCGAAATCGCTGTCGGGGGCCCATCGGCGATATCACTGATTCCAGGTCGATGTTTCCCCGCCCCCCCCCCCCTGCAGCAGGTTCGTGCGGCGTTGGCGCGCCGGCGACGCTGGCGAAGGCGTTCAAGGTTGAACTCTGCGACGCGGAAGCACCG